AGCAAGAGCTAAAATGTCTGCACACGAGACAATCTCGGGGCATTGATCTTCGACTGCCTTTTTCGCCTCTATGACAGTGTCAAAGCCATCTCCGGCTAAGGAAAGATTTTCCTTGGAGTCCTTTTCAGCATCATTATTTCGTGAAGCAATAAGAATCGAGGCATCACATCCCTGCAAAAAATTCAAGATTAAGGTATGTGTAAACGATAGAGATTTTATAAAACACATAATTACATCTAGAAAACAGTCCAACAGCTGAAAAGGCAACTCAAATAACATAATTTGGTGTTTATGTTGGTTTCTTATTTTTTCTTGGAGATACCAACTACTTGGGTAAGAAGTACAAACGTTTGATTCATAGAGTACCTCAACAAAGCAGTCATGGAAAAATAGGCGAAGGGTGGCCGGGATTGCAAACTGCGTCTGTTGAACCTTAGTTTGCACAGCCTGTTGAACAATGGTTTCGACGTTAGGACAAGTTGATTTATAAAAGTTCTCATTCAATTGCCCTTCTACACTCCTCACAAGTATGATCACTATCAGCAGACATAAAGCTTTGTAGTACATCTCCATTTTTTCTCTCCTAATGTGTTTGTATTGTGTGTGAGTTTGTTCATGTGTGTACAATGTGCTCGAGTATATCATGAATGGAAGGGTTCGAATATGGCAAATATAGGGTTGCAGACTCTTTTAGTACGGAAAAGGACTGTTTTTCTTTTAAAAGAGGCTGGTATTTTGAACAAGTAAATTGAACTAACTGAAAATTAATCATGTGAGACTAAATTACCCCACTTGTGATTGGATATAGAAATCTTTTTCAAAAAAGCTTGCATCGTCTTAAGAGCATCTTCAATGCATTGAGTCTAGTCTTGCCTATGTGGCAAGTAAATAAACCCAAGTCTTAAATGACGTGGATAAAATTATGTAAAATTAATAAAATTCACTCCAATGCAAAGAGACTAGGTCTCTACTTGGGTCTAAAATGGATTTAAGGGGAGACCGGGTCTCTTTTTTTTGCTGCCACATCAGCAGGACCCAGTCTACTTTTATTTGCATTGGAGAATATATTTTTTTGGACTGAGTCTGTTTCTTATGTGGCATGTAATTTTTTGGGATTGAACCCAAAGCATTGTAGATGCACAAAAAAATATTTTTGTGACATACCTTTTTTTTTTTGCGAATATTTNTAAGCCCTCACATGCAGTGATATCATGGTACCCTTATAGCATCCATAATGCTTTGGGTTCAATCCAAAAAAATTGTATGCCACCTAAGAAATAGACCCAGTCTAAAAAAATGTATTCTCCAATGCAAATAAAAGTAGACTGGGTCTTGCTGATGTGGCACACAGAAAAAGAGACCCGGTCTCTCCTTAAGTCTATTTTAGACCCAAGCAGAGACCTAGTCTCTTTGCATTGGATTAGATTTTGTTCATTTTACATAATTTTATCCATGTCATCCAAGACTTGAGTTTATTTGCATGCCACATAGGCAAGACTAGACTCAATGTATTGTAGATGCTCTTACAATCTCATTTTTTNATTGTAGATGCTCTTACAATCTCATTTTTTTTTAAAAAAAAAAAAGGACATGCAGGTGTTATTTTACATGACGAGAATGATGAGATGACTGGATTTAGCACTGCCGCCTAAAGTTTCCGAGGGCCAATGGCTTCTTAGCTGGAACATGAAGGATTTGAATGATATTCCCAGTGAATTATCCTTGGAAAGTTTTTAGAGATTCTCTTCAAAACATGAAGGAAAGCTTGGCACAAACTGATCTTATAAGATATATTTATGTATTTTCATATGAAATGTAGTGCACTAGATGCATAGGCAATTGAATGTCACCTGTATTTTCCTCTAGACAAGAGTTGGATCTTGGATCTTACGAGTCTTTGTGATCTCAGAATGCATGGACATGTGATAGCGTGATTAATATTTTAAACATACATATTTTATCTTCTTTTATATATGATAAGTAAATTATATCACATGTAATCCTATATCTTTAATTTGTAGTTATTATTTAATATTTTACTCACATCTTAATTTATAATAATTATTTGATATTATTTATCTTCATCTTTAATTATAATTATCATTTAATATTATTTACTCGTGCATTACACAGGCGGCGCCCTAGCATTTTATAACCAAGCATCCCCTAACTATTATCTCAATTTGTTTTATTTATTTCGTTTCAACATTTACAGATCCCTTTATTAAAACTTAAAAGTGTCACATGGGACCAAATGTTTATTTATTTTTACAATTCATTTTATCAGAAAAGAAAAAAAGGATAAAGAAAAAGATATGTTTTTGTT